GTCGATTTTTCGATTATTCTCGATAAAAAAGTTATCGGATGAGTTATCGAAAAAATAAGATAAACTTGTACTGCCTATGGTATACACGAGTATGCATGCCAAATTTCAGCTCTCTTGCTCTTATATCTTCTGAGATCCTTTTGCTCATACGGACGGACGGACGGACGGACGGACAGACGGACAAGGCTATATCGACTCAGCTCGTCGTCCTGATCAAGAATATATATACTTTATGGGATCTGCGATGATTCCTTCTGCCTGTTACATACTTTTCACAAAACCATTATACCCTGTCTTCCCATTTTCAATGGGTTCAGGGTATAAAAATCAACCAGCAACTTGTGCCAACTGCAATGAGAATCACGCTGCCAGCTACAAAGGTTGTAAAATCTATCAAGAGATTACCAAAAGAAAATCTGGTGAATAACAGGCCAACTACATCTGCTTTTCGTGATCGACTGTCTGCAACAGCTAATACACAAGCAAAACCAAATCAAGAGAATATATGTATACTCAAATCAAGTAAGTTATGCACAAGCACTACGAGGTGAGACAGTTACACAACTACTAGTAAACTACTAGTAAAACAACTACTAGTAAAACAGTCTGAGCTTACAACTAATCTACTTTACATGATAATGATGTTAGTGAACAAGTTATGCAAGTAGATCTTCGAATAGCCATATGGAATGCCAATGGGCTTTCCCACCATTGAAACGAAATAGAAGTATTTATAAAAACCAACAACATTGACATATTTCTAATTGCAGTTTAGTATTTCCGTTGCATCAGTTTATCTTCCACCTAGATATCAGTGCAAGCTGGCCGACTTTAACACTCTATTTCAAGGGCTTGGTAGGCACTTTATTGCTGGTGCTAAACACCCCTGGTGGGGATCAAGGCTGGTATACCCAAAAGGTGCCGAGCTATATAAATGTATAGAAAATAACAACTATTTAACATTATCTACCGGAAAGCCAAGAAACTGGCCTAGTGATCTGAATAAAATCTCAGATTTACTGGATTTTATTGTATACTCTGGACTACCGCAGAACAATTTCAAAATTTCGATCTGAGCTCTGAACATTCACCAATTATTGTGACCTACGGCTCTGCAGAGACCTTATAGGATCATTAATGCAAAAGCAATAAAGGTGTAGAAGATATAATTTTATAACTGGTTTTCGATAAGGTTTTTTATCGATAAAAAAGATTGGGATGAGTTATCAACTTTTAATGATAAACTCGATATCCGCGCTGTAATTACGGACAAAAAAAATTTGAGGTCTCTAGCTCTTATATCTTCTGAATTCGACGCGTTCAATCATACGGACAGACGGACAGGGCCAAATCGACTCAGCTCGTCACCCTGATCAAGAATATATATACTTTATGGGGTCAACAAAACCATTATACCCTGATTTCCCATTGAAAATGGGTTCAGGGTATAAAAAGACATGCATATCTATGTTATATGTATTCATAATCTGCACGTTATATGAAGACAGTCCATTCACAAGAAAAGTTATTAAACAATTAACTTCCCATTGAAATATCAGTCCCTCGAAGGGTTCAGGGGATCTCGTAGTCGRGCAGTCTCGACTAGAGCTTTCTTACTTGTTACTTCATTGAATTTAGTAAAATAACAGACTTTTTGTGTTATTTTATATTAACCGAATTTTAAAGAGTTCTAGTTGTTTTAAACATCGAATAGGCCAAGTTACAGTTGTTTCATATTGGGTCTATCGATGATTCCGAATTCGCAATCGCCCACTATCGATTGTGCCCAATATCGATAGTTTGGCTTCTCTATTGTGCATACTCGGCAGTATGTATTGAAGCTGGGTATAATATTTGAATTCAAAGCAACTCTAGTTTTCACAAATACAATCCTTAGGCTATTTTTGACGCCTGCGCTGTGCGGTAATATTCCACACATATTGATCCGAACATGCCGTTGCCGAGGCGCGAGAACAGCGCCGACCTGACGAAGGTGCGTGCCTGTTATGAAATTCTTGCAGCATGTGGAACTTAAGGACAATCAATACACATACATATTTGCAAGCATACAATCACCTAGCAGGTCCAGTTTAGTTCCTGGGTTTGTCTCGATTCAGTTTCGCACAGGATATACAAAGAAGAGGTGTGCAACACACGACGTGTCACAATTTTATTGCTGTCGTCGGGACCACTTCCTGATAAATGCTTTGTTACTCGTGAAATGCGAACCGTGAACAGTGAACGGTATTTTTTTTTCTCTTATCAGCATCGACTGATGCGTCGCTCTGTTCGTGTTATCATTTTTTTTTTTTTTTTTTTGGAGTGGCGCCTCAAATTTAACGCTAGTGGCACAAGTTTTTTTTTTTTTTTTTCCCCCCTTTTGCTTGGTT